TAAAGGCATATTAAAAACACCATATAGACAAATAAACAACATAAAAAACTTGATTTTCACTACAGGGGATCTATGGGGTATTGTCAAGAGGAAAATGAGAAACGAGACCAAAAAATGCAGATTTTTTTATTGGTCTTATGAAGTATTCTAAATTGTTGAGATAGTGAATTGGTGGGTTTGTGTTAAATGTGAGCCAAAATCATCACAATTAAAAGAACCAAAGACTTAAACTACTTCAGTCTGTGTGCATTGAATTTATTTAATACGCGAGTTTCACAATTTTAGTTGAATTACTGAAATAAATGAACTTTTCCACGACATTCAAATTTATTGAGATGCACCTGTAGATCGGTAAGATTTTTAAAATGTTTTTAAAAGACATCTCTTCTGCATTTATTTGATCCAGTATACAGCAAAAACAGTGATATTGTGAAATATTGTTGCAATTTATTCCTGTGTTTGCAAAGCTGAATTTTCAGCATCATTACTCAAGTCTTCAGTATCAAAAAAAGAAAGAATACAAGTTCAAAAGAACAGCATTTATCTGAAATAGAAAGCTTTTGTAATATTATACACTATCATTCAAAAGTTTGTGGTCAGTAATTTATTTATTTTTGGAAAGAAAAAAACACCATATAGACAAATAAACAACATAAAAAACTTGATTTTCACTACAGGGGGACTTTAAGACATTTATAATGTTACAAAAGCTTTCTATCTCGGCTAAATGCTGTTCTTTTGAACTTTCTATTCATCAAAGAATCCTGAAAAATATTGCACACAACTGTTTTCAACATGATAATTATAATAATAAGAAATGTTTCTTGAGCAGCAAATCAGCATATTATAATGATTTCTGAAGGATCTTGTGACACTGAAGACTGGACAAAATTGCCATCACAGGAATAAATTGCATTTTAAAATATATTCAAATAGAAAATAGTTATTTTAAATTGTAAAAATATTCCACAATATTGCTGTTTATGCTTTATTTTGGATCGGCAGCCTTGGTGAGCAGAATAGGCTTCTTTAAAAAACTTTAAAAAAAAATCTTACAAATCTAACATTTTTGAATGGTGGTGTATATAGTATGTAAGCGTTTTTAAGTATTGTGTTAGTATTTTCATTGTAATTTAAGTTGTAATAATGTTTTTGTGTTTTTGTCATTATTTAATTATTTAGCTTTATTTTTATTTCTGTTTTTATTTTTAGTATTTCAGTTTAAACTTATTTCAGTTAATTGCTGTAAAAAAAAACAACTTTTTATTGTGTGGTTAACAATAACACTGAGCATAAGCAACTTTCCTTTGTGAATTGCCTGTCCCTTAGGCCTTGAACAAATCTGGATGTTTGTCTGCGCTTGAAACCGTATGTTATGATAGTAATATCTAATTATATATTACAGATGGAAGAGGGTCTGTCTCCTGCTCCTGCCACCACTGCAGAGGAAGTCATGGCATCCTCAGGAGACACTGCTGACGCCGATGAACCACCTGGCAGGCCATTGTTAGAGGAGACAGTAGCCATGGCAACTGCAGACAGGGAGGAGTCAACTGGAGAGGTGGAGCCATGGGCAGCAACTGTTCCACCTGTGAGACTCCATTGTCTGTTGTGTCTCTTGATTTAGTGTCTGCTAAACATTTATTTTGTCACCTTTTTGTAGTACATTGACATATAAATGACCTCAAAGTTAACAGCACACATAAACCAACAACTGATATACTATATAGTAATAATGAGTGTTTCAATATGTTAATCAGGAGTGGGTACCCATCATAAGACATGACATGTTGACCCAGAGGAAGATGAAATCACAGCCGCCTCTGTCTGATGCTTATCTGCATGGGATGCCGGCCAAGAGGAGGAAGGTCTGTATGCCAGCTACATTCATTCAAATCTAAAAGGCTACCATAGATCACCAATGCAAAATGAACAATTCAATTAAACTGCTTTCCTCCCTTCACAGACCGCACAGGGAGAGGGTCCTCACCTCTCTCTCGCTGAGGCCGTGAGTCGAGCTGCCAGGACAGCAGGGGTGCGACCTGTTACTGCCCCAGACAGCCTACAGGGGGAGCTGGAGGCACCAGAGCTGCAGGAAGCTTATACACAACAGGTAAGAAACTAAAATCTCACACCTAATCTATTCAGGGTTTCTGCGTGTTTTAAAAGGTCTTAAAAAGTGCTTATTTGCCCTTCCACAAATAAAGGCCTTAAAATGTCTTAAATCAGAGCAGAATATCTTTTGATAAAGTCATGGCATTAAATGTTGCATGCGCTGCAAAAAAATTAATATCTTCCTCAGTATTTTTATCTGGTTTTCATGTACAAATATTAAAATGTCCTTAAATCAAGATAAAGATGTGAACTCTTGTTTTCTGAGAATTGAACAAAATGTGAATTTATGCTTAAAAAAAAATCTGTTAATAGGGTAGGGAAACTTGTTTTGCCTTTTAATTAAGTTAATTTTACTAAGCCCATTGGCAGATATTTGTTTTTGTTTTAATGATAAAACAGTTGCAGTATAAATCAAGATTACTAAGGAAGAACTGCTTTTTGCAGTGTGATCTGAAAGTACAGTAAAAGGTATTTCCAGTTGAGCATTTTTTTGTAAAATGAATTCAGATGTAATGGCAATTGCCTTTGAAGTATTGATAACTCAACAACTCATTGTGTTCTCCCTAGACATTTACATTTAGAGAACATATTGACAATGTATTCCCTTGAATTTATTTCTTAAATGTTATTTACTTGATCTTAAAAGGCCTTTAAAAAATCTTTAATTTCCCTACATAAATTCTGCAGAAACCCTGGTTATTTTACAATTATTTATGCACTATTATAATATTTATTAATATTTTGAATTATCTTGTATATTCATATTTTAAGTTATTATTTAAATTGTAGTTATTTTATAATTTGGTTTAGTTTTAGTTTTATTTTAATTTGAGTAATTTTAGAACTTGGCAACTAACGTATTTCAGTTAGTTGGCAAGACAACATTTCTTCTTTCTTTTTTTCCCCATCTAATATATTTATATTTTATTTCAGCTTGATTTCAGTTAAAGAAAACAATTGTTAATAATTTTAGTTTTAAGACAAATTTTCCCATCCTGCTCTTTAGAGTTTCAACATTTTTCCCATAGAATTTTAATTTCAATTTAGGTCCCATTTCCACAATTCCACATTATTAAAGCTACAAATTCAGTCTGGCAAGAAATCTATCAGATCCCATAGGAATGCAGACCATGCAGATTCATGCAGATCTTGATCTCCGAATTGCATTGAATATTTGGAAAACTTTTTCATGCTTCATTGTGTTCCAGGTGAAGAGTGATATAAAGAAACGACTGCGTGATGATCCAGACTACAACCACCAGCGGTTTCCCAACACACACAGAGCTTTTTCTGAGGACTCCTAACCAACAGCTCTGTTTACTCTGTCTTGTCATCTGTCAAACATCTGACGTCTCGAGGAACGGCCAGTAGCGTCTCATGCATTGAGGGATCCCAGTTGTTTAGAAATCGCCGACTGACACATAACTCGGATGTCTGCCATAGTCAAATGTGTGGATACTGACTAAATATAGAGCCGGTGAACTAGACTGGCCATGGAGGCAGAATTTTTTTACTTGTTTTCCCCCTCTACGTGGCGTCCATCTGTGGGAAACAGCATCTTATATTCTTTGCAGATGTCAAAACAGTCAGTGAGTTTTACTCTTGACAGGATTCATATATGCTCCTGTCCATTGTAAATTAGCTGTACATTGTTGTAATAAGTTGTTTTAATAATGACAATAATAGCAGTTGTATTACAGGCACATATATATGAAGAAAACCTAATTCATTCCAGCTTGACCTGCTCGATGTGTAGATAAAGGAGATGCCAAGATTGATGTTTACAAGCTCCAGACATGTTAAATATGATTAGATATACAGCACTGCACATTCGTCACTGAGGACTGGAAGTGTTTTAGTCATAGTGATGCCATAGAGCTGTTGGTTGTAAATATTTATTGCATGCCAAAAACATCTTGTTGGCTCCATCATGTTGTTCATGAATGTGACCATTACAAAATAAAATGGTCCAAATCTAGAATTACTTCTAGTTTTAAACAAACCTCTGTGTCTGCCTCCATATGTTCGGCCACGGAACACCTTTGCTATTGTTTAGTTTAAAAAAACAATGACTTTTATGTGGTAATGGCACATTGCACAAATAATCTCATTACTTTTTTTTTAAGCTAAAAAACTATGATGCCCAGGAGGTAAGATAATTTGGAGGGAAACAATATTTGCATAAATTACATTGTTTCATATTGTCTCAACCCTTCAACTAAAGAAAAAAAATTATAATTTTGTATCAATAGCTACAAACCAACATTTGGTTCCTAAATTGCTAGCTGAGCAATTTCATTTATGGTAAATTTGCAACCCTGTTACCCATATTTAATTAATATGATTTAAACTTTATTCAAATAAGTCAAACTTTAGTAGACATGGCTGAAAAAATGCCAATATAAAATAAATGGAACATTTTAATAAATAATAAAACATTTTCTATCATTCAAAAGTTTAGGGTTAAGAATTTGTAATGTTTTTGAAATGTCTCTTATGCTTACCAAGTCTGCATTAATTAATCAAAATTACAGTAAAAGCTGTAAAATTATGAAATGTTATTACAATCTAAAATAACTGTAAAATGTAATTTATTATTGTGACGCAAAGCTGCCATTACGCCAGTCTTCAGAGTCACATGATCCTTCAGAAATCATGCTGATTTGCATTTTTTTGTATTATCAATGTTGAAAACAGATGTGCTGCTTAATATACACGTGGAAACCATGATTAAAGTTTAAAGTCCTATTTGAACCTCAAAAAAAAAAAAAAAAAATATATATATATATATTGTACCTTATATGCAACAAATTAAACATTATTTAGCAGAAAATCTAAATATCTAAATGGTAGTAGACAAGAGAGAAGAACAGAGACCAAAAATATCGGTCAGTATGCATTTATTTGTCACACAACACATTCAAACAGGTTTTTGGGTAATTAGCACAAAATTAACCACCAGAACAATTGCTTTAACAGGTTCTGACCTTTCGGATTTGAATTGCACATATTGTGGAGTGACAGCGTTTCATGCTTTTATTGTCCATTTAAAAGCGCAAGCATTTGAGACAGATGTGTTCTGACTGCTTTGGGACACAGGAAGTCCATTAAAGTGTCTGGTCTATGTCTTTACCACAGGAAGCTCAAGCAGTTGAAAGTGTTCTTGTTAAAACAGACTGGGAGGAGAGCATGTGTTACCACACCAAATGCATTGCCAGTCATTACTGAGCTAAAGTGACCAATTAACCTGGAGAAAAATAACCAACGCGTTGCTTTGCAGATGCAAATACACTTCTGAACATATTTCAATGGGAAAAGAATTGAAAGCATGGGTCTTTCGAATAAGTGTGGACTTAATTTACATGGACGGCAGGGCAAGACTAGTGCAGATTTGGCAATGTATTTATGCAGGGAGCCATATTGGCTGAGAATTTATACCATGTGTCTTGCACATTGAAAACAATTCAAATAAGGAAGGTACGGGCAAACGAACAAGTCCAGACAGGAAACTAAACTCTCTACACTCAAAGGCAGTCCCTGGCATCACTTTCCCTTAAAGGTCACCAAAAAGGCAGCAACTCTAAAGACATTCATTGAGTTCTGCTACTAAAGGAAACAGCTGGTTTTCAGGCACCTTCCTCTACAACATTTAAACCAATGCAACTGATGAAAACTCCAATTAATATATAAATACAAAAAAATATATAATGAATTATTACAATGTAAGCTGATCAAGACTTAAAAATCAGGACCAATCTTTCTGTTGATTTATTACTGTGAATGTGAGCTGAACCATCTTCACCTTTTATCTGGCATGTGCTTCAAAAGCCAGTTTTACAGCCGAGCTGCCTGAATGTATTTACAGATGGCACTGAATATACCTGTACAGTAATGTACTGGGACATCAAAACCTGTTTGTTAAAGAGTTGTGCGTTAGTTAACTTCCTAGTTAGTGATGCCCTCATGTATTAGTCTCTGAAACCTGTTACGATTCAAACCAGTTTGGTGATATTCAAACAATGGAAATTAAAGAGCGCACAAAGATTGTTTCAAGTGAGAACAGTTTTAACTCGTTTGTTCTTGTTCCTGCGGATTTACCCCCAAAAAACTGGTTACCAACATCTCATTCACTCAACCCACACAATACAGCGCTGCATCTTTTTCAGTCTTTTTAATGGTGTGACCAAACGCATCCACACTCTCAGGCTTGGGGCTGTCGGAGGGAAGACAGCAGAAGTAGGAGTAGGTTGAGGGCGGGCCGGTGTTCCTGAATGCCCAGCGCCACCAGAGCCCCGGCCAGTACTGAGGTCACTTTGGGCAGCAAGGGAGGACGAGCCTCCATAACCTACCAACATAGATAAACACTAAGGTTAAACCAGAGTGAAATGATCAAGTGTTGTTTTTCAATCAGAGAGCCTCAGTAGATGTCCAAGGGGGCCGCAGGATGACTTAAAGGGACAGTTCACCCAAAAATGCTGTTCCAAATGAGTTTCTTTCTTTTGTAGAACATAAAAGAAGATATTTTGAAGAATTTGGTAACCAAACAGTTGCTGGACCCCATTGACTTCCATAGTATTTTATTTTTTCCATACCGTGGATGTAAATGGGGACCAGCAGCAACATTCTTCAAAATATCTTCTTTTGTGTTCATCAGGAAAAAAATGTATTAAAAAAACTACAGATTTGGAACAACTGAGGGAAAGTAAATAATGACATTTTTCATTTTTTTGGGGTTAACTATCCCTTTAAATGTAATTAAATTAATAAATTATTATTAATATACTAATAATCTAACTCTAATCTAAATTAAAGTGTTAAAAAAAAAAACACATAAAAGATGTAAAATGTTCAAAATTCCCGTCCTTAATAACTATTGTTTTTATTGAAAAACATACAGTTCTTGAAACTTATGGAATCACAAAATGAATTTTCTTGAAATAATTGAATATTTGTTTTGAAAAGAAGCTTTGTTTTAAGTACAGCAGAAGTACCAGAAATTTCTCAGCCTACATGGCCGTTTGAATTTTGTGTTGGATTACGGTGTCCTTTGAGTCAAATAGGTTGAAGAAATCCACAGTTAAGTGACAAGCATTAAATGACATAAAAACTGTTAACTCACCTTTTAACTATTTTTCTGATAACTTGGATTTCTGGGTAGCTCTGCCCAAAGTAAAATCTCACTGATCGAAAATCTTGCTCCATATGTTCTGATATTGTGTGATTGAAAAGCATTTTTTCAGCTTTCAGTATCTCCTTTTTCCAAACGAGTCTACTACATTACGGGTGGTACTTCCAGTTTAGGGAGCTTCCACTCAAAATGACTTAAATCATTTCAAATAATAAGGCTGCACTACAAATAATCCTTATTTGTCTGTTTGATTGAATGAGCTGTACATTTTCCGTAATTCTCCATTATATTTTTATCTGTCAGGAAAATAATATAAATCTTGCGGTTTTAATGTGACAGTCTTAAAGGAATATCTGTGACAAAATCTCTTTTTAGTCCGCTAGCTTTCTTTTTCTTTGAATTTCACTGTATTAATATGAAAAAGACAACACACTGTGCAGATGTGGTCTGCTCTCCTATTTTTAGCTCCAAATCCTCACTCACATCTCTTTCCTGGTTTTTCACAGAGCGCTTTATAACATAACTGTCTCCCCTTTTTCACTTCTAATCCCCATCAGCAGTGTTTACTGAAATATTTCTGAAGCTAGAAAATGAAACATTTATCTGTTCAAAAAGAGGGATAGGACATTGAAATATCCATCGGTGTTACAGTTAATGGGGGAAAAGTTTTTAATGCAAAAAAAGTACTGACCCCAAACTTTTAAACGGGAGTGTAATATGATTTGGAAATTTCTTTCACTAACACTTTGTAGGAAAATAATAAAACACATTTTTTTTTTACTATTTTCCTATTTAATTAAAAAAACAAAATATGGAAAACAAGGATATTCTGAAAATATGAAGTTGCAAGCAAACCTCACCTTTTCAACTTTATGCCTATGTATTCGTCCATCAGAGCCAACATAGAAGGTGGAGAATGCGTCATATGTTCTGAACAGAAAAAAATAAATATGACTACACAAAGACGAGCACAGGGCAAGGTTTTGATAGGCTGTCACAGCATGTCTCACCTGTAGAGGTGGCTCTTGTCTTTCTTGTAGAAGAAGATCAGAATGGAGTGGAAGGGCAGGCCTTTGACTCTCCAGCGAGCTTTGATGGAGCTGTCTTCTGGATGCTTGGTCAGCTTCAGCACTTCCAGCTGAGCCTCTGCATAGTAACACTGACACATCAATCGCCAAAGCATCAGAGTCAGCTGGTACGCTACACGACCCCTTTAGAGACAGACATTATACCATTCAGATGTGCGGTTTCAAATATACCGGTACTTTGGCAACAAGCCAAAACCAGTCATTCAATGGTAGTTCTGACTCATTTTGGAACTATTGTCACTGTGTAATTAACAAACAAAACCACCCATGATTTGTTTTTCCTCAAAACTTTTTGACGTTCTTGCAGAAAATGCTTTGCAAGCAAAATGTTTTCCAACATGAAGGAAAAAAAAAGTTTTGAGAACAAATCTTGAGACATAAAAATGTCTTGATGCAACAAGCATTATTAATTTTGCTTGTGAAACTTTTAATGTATTTGAAAAAAAAAAAACATTTAGCAAACAAAAGAAAAAAGTTGACAAAACATGAAATAATCAAAACATCTTTAGAGAACAAAATGTTATAGTTTTCAAAAATAAATATTCAAAAATATTTCCAAACATAACATTAAACACCATGAGAGAACAAATGTTTTTTGTTTTTCTTGGTAAACTTTCTGATGACTTGCTTGAACATTTTGCAAACAAAACATTTACAAACAAAATGTCTTGAGGCAACAAAAATGTAGAGTTTTAATTTTATAATGAAAATATTATTATATCAGTTTTTTTTATTGTATTGGTAAGCTGTAACCAGGACTGGAATTGGGGTGTGGGGGGCTTTGGGGAAGCCAGGGTGTGAATTTCGAGGGGGGGACGGCGTTCCAGTTCCTATATTTAATCCATAGCCTAACAGCCTACAAAAGCAATCAGAGTTCCGCACATAAAGGTAGTGCAATATATAGTAATACATTTCAGATTTTTGCAAATGTGCCAGTGCGTATTTGTTTGCACTCTGTGGGGTGCCAAAGGTTTCTATTTACAAGTATTGAAAAATGTATCCAATCACAGACATATCTGGTGATTTCTTGAACGTAATGGCCAATTAGCCATTTTAATGATTATAAAGGGAGTTTGCAAATGTGATATTGATTTTATTTGACAGTTCAATAAACAAGTTAATATAAAATGACTTATATTTTAAGAACACTGTTGTCTGATTTTGCTCTATTTTATCAACAAAAATAGTTCCAAACAAGGTCACAGCTGAGCCGCTGCGCATCTCCATGCAAACACTTTATGAATGAATGTGTTTTTTAGTGAATCTAGTGAGTCAATGATTCAGTTACCCTTTCATAAAGACAGTCACTTGTTTTCTTCCTGAATGAATCAGCTGTTTGAACAAATCTATTGAATGAATGATCCAGTGACAAAGACAGTGACTTGCCGCCACCTACTGACAGTTTTGGTTTCATTTTTAAAGGGGTCATATGATGCTATTTTAAAGATCATTATTTTGTGTATTTGGTGTAACAGAATATGTTGACATGCTTTAATGTTCAAAAAACACATTATTTTTCAAATACTGTACATTATTGTAGGTCCTCTATGCCCCGCCTCTCTCAAACGCGTCGTTTTCAACAAAGCCCCTTCCTTTAAAAAACACGAAAACACCTTTCTGTCGGGAGAGAGAGAAGCCGCAGCATGTGAACGCGCCGCCATCTTGAGGGAGAAAACAAGCGAGACAAGCGCAGCCTTGTACTCTTTTAGGTTCAAAAAACTGTCGTCCATAAAATGTGTTGCACAAATTCGAACATCTGGGTTGTGCTGTTCTGTTGTAAATAAATCTTAACCAATGATTCCTAATTGCATCTACTTCCGGAAGGCCAAATAAAGTGCTTTTGCTTTCGCACTGAAACACACAGAGTCTCCCTGACATGGCTGCATCAACACTACTGATGTTCCTGAAACCACGCCTTCTTTCTTTGCGTGCACATTTGGGCGGCATTATGCTAATATTTCCACATAGTGACGTAGACATGTGGGGGCGTGTTAGAATGAGCCATTTTAGGTAGGCGTGGTTGACTCTTAACTTTTATAAAGAATATCTCTTTGGATTTGAGATTTTAGTCTTTGCAACTTTACAGATCTTCTTTATGCACCAAGAGCTTGTAACACTTCAAAGAGAAAGGAAAACTTGAAATCGCATCATATGACCCCTTTAAAGTATAATTTAAGTTTTTCAAATCATTTAATATTTCTATATTCAAAACTTTATATTTAAAACATTCATTTCAAAACATTGTTATTATGAATTCAAATGCATTCATATCACCTCTGAACCTCGCTAAACAGTCTGTAAATACACAGAAGTGCTACTTTTGTGTTCTGTTCCACCTCTGTAGTGTAAAGATTCATTTTGTTGATACTGATTTCAGTTGATTGGTAACTTATTCTTCCTGATTGTGTCTTATTATTCTAATTCAATTTATTGCTTTCATTAAACATTTTTTTTTTAAGTTTATAAATATAAATGTACGAATTTGACATAAAAGATGACATGCATTTAAAAAGGTTAGAAAAAATGCCATTACAAACGTCAAATATCAAATATCGCCTCATAATGAGTAGGTTAGTTTTTGTTATTGACCAGAAGGTGCTCCTAATTTTTTGAGAATTAAACAGAATTACACAGGTAATTATCTCCAAGCAAAGATTAAATTGAATGAATGTATTTGTGCCTCATATCATTGACCTGTAATGTGCCTTTCTCGATACCCAAGAAAACATATGGTTTAGAGGAAACATGAAATACGTCTTATGTTATTATATATTATAAAGTCTTTTATAATTTAGAACAACAATAGTCACAGGGGTTCACTGACAGCTAGTATAAATCAGGTCTAAAATCTAGTATAACATACACTTAGAAATTCTTGACCTTGTTTTGGTGTTCAGAAGGCCATTGATGAACTCAACATCTTCAGAGTATATGCTGTAGTCATGATTTTTCACAAAGAAACTGGGAAGCTGAAACACAACGTAGAACCTTAACTATTAGTCAAGATTACACTGCAATTACATTATTAAAAAAGGTATCATAAATGTAATATCTTCCTACAGCCTCCATATATCAAGCATTATTTCTCCCATTCATTTTTCTACAAATGGTCCATCTCATCTCCCTTAAGCTTGTCTTACCTCCACCCTCAGCTTTTCATGCATCAGGGCCAGTTTCTCCTCATTCTCCATGTCTCTCTGGCTAGAGCTCTTGTCCACTCTCTCAGTCTCAGCATGGCTGTAATGCGTGACATTGAGGGCCGGATAGATACTCTGCTCATCCTGTCCCTTTCTTGGTTTGACCCCAATCTCTGAGACAGACTCCATCCCAGGGCAGTGAAAGCAATAGAAGCGAGATCCAAACATAAAAGGTGCAGGGCATCCCTCGGTCTCAAACAGACTCCTGAAGGAGCCTCTTTCCATCAGCTGGTTTTGCTCAGTCCCATCCTTTCCGATAATGCTAATATCATCCTCTCTGCTTCCATCAACAGTGGTTAAAGGAAAAAGCAAGTCAAATGGTCTGTTGGGTCCCAAAGCAAGGAGCTCACTTAGTTTGGCCGGCCCAAGAAAGGGCACTTCCACCACGGTGTGCTGCTCATCGGTCTCTCCGGGTTTGAGCAGGACAGGCAAGCTAATCGCCTCCTCCCATTCCTCCTCCTCTAGGCTGGCTGCTCGGTTCGGCTGGCACGCATGGTGGAAGGGATGGGACAGGGATGGCTGTTTAATGGACAGGTAACGTAGACTGTTTGGAGGAGCCAAGTTCCATGATGCACTGCTCAGAGTCCTACAGTTGTCAATCAAGTGAAATTCGGTTGTCTGCAAATCAGACAGAATTTGATTAGAGATTGGTCAAAGCTTTTGATCAATTTAATGCATTTCTTAAAAAAAAAAAAACTCTTTTGAACAGTAGTGTATTTTCTTTACACAATATATTTGGGTGAACAGATCTTAACCCTTATTTTCAAAAAAAAATTTGAAGATAAATTTTTCATGGTAAAAGGTTTTACAATGTGTACCTGACATAAATTCCAGCACTGTTTCGTCATTGGTTGTCTGCTGCCATGGTTCCTGGCACACCCCACCCAAAGAGAGACACCCCCTCTGCACACAGCCATTCAAGTCAGGGTGCTGAGGTGACCTCGATGGAGTCTCAGTAAGATGACATCATCAAGCTACTCAAAGAGGAGGAAACGTGAACACTCCCATCCACCGCTGCCTCTGGTTACTCACCCATTCACAGAGACCTAAACTTTTGTCCTTCAAAACCTAACCTGGGCCAAAAAATTATAATAATAATAATTACATTTAAATCACACTAACAAGACCAGATATCCAGATCTTCTTCAATACATTTATGCATTTGACAGACATTTTTAAACAAAGCAACTCAGTCTACATTTTATCAGTTTGTGAGCTTCCCAGGAGTCTAACCCATGGCATTGCTCACACTGCTCTACTAGTTGAACTTCACTACCAATCAAAAGTTTGGGGTTGATAAGATTTTTTTGTTTTTGAAAGAAGTTTTTCCACTACATTTATTCGCAAGAGGAGCGATAGAACCTGTCCCTCTGAGCGAGCTGCAGAGCGGGTTTTACAGCCGCTATTTTGTGGTGCCCAAGAGAGATGGAGGACCGATAATGGACCGAGGCTCATCAACCGAGCGCTTCACAAGCGCAAGTTCAGGATGACAACGTTGAAGCAGATCCTGGCACAAATCTGTCTCAGGGACTGGTTTGTATCCGTAGATCTGAAGGATGCATACTTCCACATTCAGATCACAACGCGCCACAGGCGCTTCCTGAGGTTCTCTTTCGAGGGCACAGCATACCAGTATTCAGTTCTACCATTCGGGCTGGCTTTAGCGCCACGCACGTTCTCGAAGTGCATCGATGCAGCGCTTTCCCCTCTCAGAGCAAGTGGTATGTGCATTCTAAATTATCTGGACGACTGGCTGATTTTAGCCCATTCGATAGATGTGCTTATCAGTCACGCCGACACGCTGCTTCACCATCTGGAGTCCCTAGGACTGCATGTGAATGTGCAAAAGAACGTGTTCACCCCGAGTCAATCTATAACATATCTGGGTGCAGTGGCGGCTCCAGGATTTTTTTGTTGGGGGTGCTAAGGGGGGGCTTAACAATTCAGAGGGGGTGCTAAAAAACTAATTAAATTGAGAGAAAGTAAAGAATGCCTGCTTCAGCTATCTAAGCATGCAAATTCAGCCACCTTGTGTTTTTTTATATACAGCAGCTTCGAAAAAGGCATATTTTACATTTTTTTTACATTTTGGTATTAAACTTCTCATATGCCAGTAATATAACTTTTAATGCCAACTGCCAAATATGACGCTTACAAATTAATACAATTTATGAACGCACATAGAAAAGAGAGAAAGTAGGGATTTTCTTTTGTTATTATTTTATTTTATTTATTTATTTATTTTATTACACATTTCTATTTACTCATTTTTTTGACCATCAAGTCAAAAACTCTCAATGCCTACTGGCAGGAAAACACTGTAAATTCTAACAATGTTTTACAATAGATAAAGTGCAGACGATTCATAAAACAATTTCCACATAAGCTATTTATTAAGAGTTGCTACTCTGTGTGACGACAGGCTCCTCTCCATCCGGGGTTGCGTTTCAGTGTAAACGGACCAAAACAGAGACTTTTGAAAACGATGGTGTGGCTGCCCACATTCGTATTCGTAACTCTGCGTATCCTTGACGACAGTGTAAACAATAACATCATGCACATTGTTGTACCCATAGATATGTATGTATACATATCTATGGGTGTACCTGCATGAATGGTCATGTGACATGCATTTTCGGTTGTGGTCCTGGATGGAGAACGTATCTGAAACTCCGTGAAAACGCAAGTGTAGACGAGGATCGTTTTCATTTTAAAACGCCATTTTAAAAGGAAAACACAGTAGTATAAAAGGGCTTGAGACTGTCGACTTGTTATTGTTCTCATCTGCGCTATTCTGCAAAGTGTCTGAAATTCACTGTCTTTTACTTGATATTAAACAGCGCTCCATTATGATAACTGTTGATACTAAACTTAAAATTAATGCTAATGCGCACTGTACCTAAGCGTGCCTAATTGACCCCTCTTCCACATTGTCAACTGTTTATAGGCATCTTTTTTTTTTTTTTTTTAGGTTTTTAATGTTTATTTTTCAGTGTTAATGAAAGTGACACTGGGAGTTAAAAAAACAGGAATATCATTAGGAAAAAGGGGGGGGCTGTGCCGGGGCTAAGCAAGCTTCTGATGGGGCTATAGACCCATCAAGCCCCGCCCTAGCACCGCCATTGTCTGGGTGTGTGTTTCGTTGAGATGAGGGTGCGAGGGTGTTCCGACTTCAGGCCTGTGGTCAGAGTCTCAGAGCAGGTGGCACATAAACTGCTGTGAACTGAAGGTGGTGTAGAGCTGCACAACTGATCGAATTTCTAATCGTGATTACAATTATGGATGCCACAATTACGCAATCATTCAAAGCCGCAATTAATCGTTCAAAGTCCACTTATGTTATTTTTTTCTTTCTACATGTTATCTTAAGGGTTTTTCCATTGTTTTAATTTTAGTTTTAGTATAACATTATAATACCATTCATATTTTTACTTTTTTTATAATTTAAAGAAGAAACCAATCCGATGTATAGTTGACATTTGAGGCTTAATACTATGGAAAAGCACTAAAAGTTTTTTAAGTTAAGTGTTTTCAGCTTGTTTATTTTCATATAAAAAAAATACGGCATGCAGTTGCATCAAACAATGGTATAAACATCATTCAATGTAAATTGTGATAATCGTAATTAACAATCGCAATTACAATTTCAAGAGAATAATGGACAATTATGATTTTTGTCATAATCGTTCAGCCCTAAGGTGGTGTCCTTAGCCCTAATGGCCTTTTTGCCACAGTTGGAGCAGCGACATGTGCTGATTCGCATCGACAACATGTCTGTGGTTTTGTAAATAAATCGCCAGAGTGGCGTATGCTCCAGAGCCTTTTTCAAGCAGGCTGCGAGCCTCCTGTTATGGGTGGATCGTCATTTACTCTCCATCAAAGTGGCGCATATCCCCGATCTTCTAAACCGCGGAGCGTACATGCTTTCGAGGGATGGAATACCCCACGAAGAGAGGAGGCTGCATCCCAGCTTGGTCTGGATGATTTGGGATCGCTTCGGGAAGGCGGTGGTGGATCTGTTTGTGACGAGTGAGAACACACACTGTTCAATGTTCTTTTCGCTGTCTCACTCCCCTCTGATGGGGGAAGCTCTGATGTTGCGCTGGTCAAGAGCTAGACTTTATGCATTTCCCCCGGTGAAGATTTTGCCTCTGGTATTATGCAAAATCAGGGAAGAGAGGGCTTCAGTGATCCTCGTTGCCCCAAACTGGCTGAATTAGCTTTGGTTTCCGGACCTCAGGGAGATGCTGGTGGCTCCCCCTTGGTGATCCCGCTCAGGAAGGACCTGCTGTCTCAAGCGAATGGCCCGATATGGCACCCCAGCTGGAGCTGTGGAGCCTGCACGTGTGGACTGCACTTCAAGGGTCCTAGAGGAGCTAAGTGCCCTGTGTATTCATGTGATTGACACGATCATGGAGTCTCGTGCACCCTCTACTAGGCGTTTGTACAAGCTTAAATGGGGAGTGTTTGTGAAATGGTGCTGTGATGAAGATATGGACCCAGCGAGCTGTCCCGTGTCAGATGTTTTACATTTCCTGCAGCACAAGCTCGATAACGGGAGCCTACCATCAACGTTAAAGGTTTATATGGCCGCTATTGCTTTGTTTTGTTCCCCGGTTGTCGGGCAATCTATTTGGAAGCACGCAGGTTTCTCAGGGGAGCGAGGAGACTACATCCCCCATGCCTGCCTTCGGTGCCGCTGTGGGATTAAGCGCTGGTTCTGAAAGCTCTCTCTCTACCCCCGTTCAAGCCTTTGGAATATATTGCTGTAAGAGATGCTCTCCCTCAAAGCTGCTCTGCTTCTTGCACTTGCTTCGGCTAAGTGCATAGGGGATTTGCACACGCTCTCAGTGGATGATGATTGTATTTGCTTTGGACCTAGGGACTGCAGTGTTACTCTCCGGCCCAGACCTGACTACGTGCCTAAATCTCTTTCTACCCCCTTTATGTCATTTCATTGCCCGCTTTGGCTGCTGAGCCCATTGACCTCGACTGATGCCCGTTAGGGCTTTGAGGATCTATATCGATCGCTCGTATAGTGGATGCTATCGTGTCGGCTTATGCGAGCCGGGGAGAGGAATGCCCTCTCAACATCAGAGCCCATACAACACGGACTATTGCTTCCTCATTGGCCTGGTCTAAAGGCTCGTCTATTCGGGATATAGCCTATGCTTCGCAGCTGGCTGGTCTTCACAGAATATTTTCGCCAGATTTTATAAGCTGGTTGTGCCATCCTTGGTGTCTCTCGGTGAGTCACTAAACTTACTTATTCTTGTAGTTCATTGCTATGTTTGCAATTTGGGGTGCAGTTGTTACCGCATTAGTTGTTGACACTGTGCTCGCCCTTGTACTCTTTATATGTGCTTTGTACCAGTTGTTACCACGTATAGCTGTTGACACTGTAAAGATCTATGAGCATGTAACTCCGGTTCCCTGAGAGCGGGAACGAGACATCGCAAAGATCGTCGTGCCCGCTGCTCGATCAGTGCTGCAACATTCAGTCTCAGATTCTGATGCAATTGTCGCTCTTGCTGCATTTATACTGCCTGCAAGCTTGCCAGTATTTGCATGCAATTTGCATGGATTAGCGACAATTGGCCAGTTTATTGAACTGGCGTTATCCTATAAGGTTTCAGGATTTTGGAGAAGGGGAGGAGTTTCCACTGCGATCTTTGCAATTTCTCATTCCTGCTCTCAGGGAACCGAGATTACAATAGTAACCGGAGACAGCCACCTACTGTGTTGGCGTGTGGACCAGAATTTACCCACTATTGCAAAAAAAAAAAAATAAATAATAATAATAAAACAAAAGAAAAGAAAATAAATAAATAAATTTAATTATTTTAAAGGGGTGGTTGACTCGTTTTGTTCTAGGCTTGATTGTGTTTATGGGGTGAAGTCTAACATGTGTTCATGCTTCGTTTTTTAAAAAAACGCATAATTTTTCACATAATTTACCTTTATTCTTCACCGCTCTGTCCCTTCTCTGATAAACATGCTGATAATTTCCTGCTTTTATGAAGCCCCTCCCTCAGAAATACGTGATGGGCTCAGATTGGTTAGCTGGCCCAGT